TGCATAATGCACTGGAATATCAATGCATATTTTATTATAACGTTGTACCTTTCATATATCTGTAGTAATAATACGCGTGTCATTCATTTTACTTGATATGTTCAGAAATTAATAGTTTTTTATTTAATGGGAAGGAAAGAAAAATTATTTGACAACCAACATCCTTGTTTAAATTAATCTATATAATTATTCCCTAATATATTATCCTAATTATAGATTATAATTATGATATTTTTCTAGTAAATACGTACTCTGTTTCTAATTACTTTTGTTGCAAAAAAATATTTGTAAAGGCAATTTATGATTTCCGTCAATTTTGTTATTCGTGGAATAGAATATATAAATGCAATGGATGATTGATCAATTAACAATAATTTTCAAAACAGAAGTCATGGAATGTTACAAATTATAATACCTAGTTGTTTAATTTAACATTGAAGATGCTTCCAGAAGAAAAAAGTCCATTCGTAAAGTCCAAAAGTACCATTCGTATTTATTGAATATATAACATCTTTCAATTGTTTCATTACATATACAACTATATAAGAAACGAGTTCCCTTTTTATAGTCTTAGGTCTTAGGTCTATAGGTCTTAGTTTACTTTTTAAAAGTAGAAGTAGAGGTGAAATATTCTCAATCTTAAATTGTGAAAAAAATGTATCTAGCTGAAAATCGAGTATAAGTTCCAACGATTCATTAATAAATAATGCTTTCGGCGCATTCAAATATGACTTTTCAGTACAATCACAATTTCTGCACTCGATGTCTTTGTGATTTTTTTATTAGCTGATTTTTCCATTATTTCCAATCTCTGATTAGTAGATTAAGCAATCTATACCCATAGACATGTTGGGAATAACTTGAAAACATCTATTTCTGAAGATATGTTTATATATTACACAATACAGTTGTTTGTTTTTCTTTTGGAATATTTCAATTCGGTTTAAAATTTTCAGTTTTCTAGTCCAATCAAACATATCTCTTAAATTCTTAATCGAAACGTCGTTTTCTTTTTCATCCAAATGGATTCTTCCTCTTCAATAGTAAAACTATATTTTTTGTCAATGTTGTATATAGTCTTTATCGAAGAGACTGACTGGTCAAAACTCTTCGTTTAATTCTTCTTATAACATGATAATTTTCAGCACTTATTTTTGGCTTTAACTAACTACTCTTCTTATGATCACTTAACAAATACGATGTTGGTAGACTATCGCCTATAATTTAACAAAACAAATCGCCCGTAGAGATCAAAAGTTTGGCCATCCCTTATAGCAATCGCTACTTTAAGCGTAGTTGGAGACGGAATTTATTATTAAAAGAGCCGTATGCGGCTCGTGAGTCCTGTGACCCAGGAGCCACATGCGCAATATTTAAAGTGTAAAAGTTGTCAAGAAAAATATAACAATTCTAAGAGTATGCTTGAAATTATTTTTTTAATGAAGGTGTGGCTAGAAGTTCAAGCGAAAGTTCAGAAATTATATTAAAAAATATTCGTAAAAGAGTAAACCTTTATACTACAGTGATGAATCAAATTCTACATAAATTATAGAATAATTGATTTGGAGATCAAATTACTGCAAACCCTGGTATCAACGCTTTTTAGTTTAGTTTTGAGGAGATTAATCAAGAATTGCGACATGTACTTAGTGATGACTTATTCTAAATGAAATTAAAAGAAGCAAATAGTTATGCAACAATTAAAATAGTATTTTTGCAGTTATTTAATAATGAAAACTAATTAAATGTCATAATAATTATAAGAAATCAACATTTTGATATCTTAAAAAACTTATATTGAATTCGAATATCAAGGATTGAAGGTGTATAAAATAATGCAATAGAGTACATTTAGAGAACAGTTCACGAATAATCAGTAAAAAAACTTTCTAAAGGAGTACGATTGGTCTTATATAGGGTGGCCCATCAGATACGCCGGATTTAAATTTCCTTCCATTTTTTTTTGAATATGTGTTGGCATCTCTAATGTTTGACATTTGTCATCTGCTGTTATTGAGGTTATTAAAAATGGGTCACTATACAAAAGAACAACGTATTGTGATTGTTAAAACACATTACAAACTTGGCTAAAGTTTTGCGGAGACTGTTCTAAAAGTTTTTTAAAAACATTTTTTTTAAACATCATCTTTAGCGATGAAACTCATTTTTATTTGGATTTGTTAATAAGCAGAATTGTCGAATTTGGGGCAATGAAAATCCTAGAGTTATTAATAAAAAAAAAAAACGATGACCCCATAAATAGTCACTGTTTGGTGCGGATAATGGGCTGGAGGTGTAATTGGACCATTCTTTTTTGAGAATGATATAACTTTTTGTGGGTTCAACTGGTCGACATAGACATTGAAGGAATGTGGTTCCGACAGGATTATGCCACATGTCATACAGCAAGAGAAACCTTCGATTTCTTAAGATAACAATTTCCTGGTTGTGTGGTTTTCAGAAATGCTTACGTTAATTGATCTTACTACTTGACGTCCTTCGGTTTTTACCTTTGGAGTTTTGTAAAGTCCAAGTCCAAACTATGGCTCGCGAACCGCATGTATAAGAGATTAAAAAAAAATATACCAAAATGTTTAGGTGCGGCTCTTGCTGCAAAAAGTCTGGCCACCCCTGGTCTATACTAACAAACCACAAACAATTCCTGAACTGAAAACCGAGATCCAACGCGTTATTTCAGAAATTGAGCCAGATGTCTTGCAAAAAGTCTTCAAAAATTTTATCAAAAGTTTCAGGGTATGCCAGCACAGCCTTGGCTGTTATTTGGCCGACATAGTATTCCATAATTAATCTCAATCATAATTTATCAATCAATAAAAATTTCTCAATTAAATAATAATTTACTGTATTTCATTTCAAAATTAAATCCGGCGTATCCGAAGGGCCACCCTGTTGTTGGTACGACAACCTGACTTGTTTGTCTCAAATTATGTATTATGTGGATTCAACATTAGACTACAATAAAGTGAAACCTATGTCATCTATACATTTGATTAAATATATCAATTAACAGACCAAAAAATAAAATATTTTACATATTTTACTTGCTCTAAAATAGTGAATTTATTTAACAACAATTTGGATAATCGAAATTCAAGAATTATTGATCTTCATCATTGCTTCGAATACTTTGATACGAATTATTAAAAAAGTGTACAAAAAACAAACTAGTAAAAAACAAAGCTTTTATTTATCATATGTAAATATGCTTTTTTGAACCTGTTATTAGGTCGAAATTGTTTCTTTATATGTATTGTTTACATGGTAATTTATGTATGCCAGAAAAATAATTATTTAGTTTCCGTATTGCATTTGATTTACTAATAGATGAGGGTCGTGATCCGGTATTATTCCAAGCTAAAAGTCACGGTTTCCCGTCATAGAAGTTTACGGGTTACCTGTTTAACCTGGTTAATACAACGTGTGGGTGAACGACCACAAGTCATTACGTTTGCTGCACATTTTAACTATGTTCATATCCACCTTAAATCTTGACGAACACTAGATAAGAAACCATCAAGAACATCATATTTTTTAATAGTAAGAGAATGAGGGCAGAATTGTAATATACCAGAGTTTCCTAATTAAATTTAGTCACGAAACAACATAGTATGATATAGATTACAATTACAAACTCAGTTCGGTCAGTACACAAGTCGAAACTTGAATTATTGTCTCGTCTGCCAGATATAAATGTAACAACAACAACATTTTTAACCCATATTTTCTACAACAAGCTGAACCTTATAATAACAGATACGCCACTGTCTGGTGATTGATTTGAGCGATCTTAACCTTGTATCTCAGGTATGGATTATTTGAAAACGTCGCTAAAGAGGTTATGTTAAACTTATGAATTGAGAAATTAAAAAAAAGACATAATTTACAAACTTGTTAATCACGTATCGTTCATTACTGTAAACTAAATTACAATAAATTAATGATTTTAATTCATATTTCATGTATATAAACCGAATAAGGCAATAGATTTTTCGAGACATTTTCATTTTGTAATATTATTAAGGTATATTATTACTTAAAAAGTTGCGTCTTATAAGCCGAAAATATAATATTTTATTAAATTATTATAATAATGAATGATGATATTTATCACGTACAATTATGTATGAAATTCACTTTTTATCTGAATTTGGGAATTTAACTTAGAGGAATTTAACTAGTTAATAATTTACTTCCAAAAAGAATATAATATATCTTTCTTGATACATCAAATAGCTGGTAAGTTATTGTAAAATTGTAAATGTTATGCAATTGAGGACAAAGTTTACGAAACATCTGCAGTATAAAAGCATGAAATTTTCAAGTACATATTATATTTTATGCATAATATGTAAAAGTACAACAATTTATTTATTTAGTAAAACAAAATGATATTCATGCAATAAAAACATATATAAAACTTCCTTTGTAGCAGTTGAATTTTATTTGTGTTATTGTATTAAGTTTTTTATTTAACCATTTTTTAACTTTATTTTGAAAGATAGGCTTTATGTAAATTTTAACAAATATTGTAAAATATATTAAATATATATATAATCATTATTAAAATAATCATTTAATTTATTATGATTTTATACTAAATTCAATTGTATATGCGTATAATACAAAAATGCAGTTGTTGTTCTAGTTAGTTCCTGGGTCTATTTGAAAACTCTGTTAATCAGTAAATGACTAGAGAGGAAATTAGACCCTATTTCCTAATAAACTTTGCCTGATTGGCTTCAATTAAATGCAGTCCTACGCGTATCCAAATTACAATTCTGAGCTAAGTGAAAGTAAATTAGTATTTGTCACACATGGGAAGCGACACAGGACATAAAGCGAAATGTAAAATAACGATTATAAATTAATTCCGCTTCATTAGGAAATTTTGGCACGTACGCCTATGATTTAAAGGAAAGGAAAGGAAATATATCGACCGGTGGTTCCACAGTTTGCCACCAGGCGGAAACGTTCCACGGATGACGGTTGTAAAACAGGTCTCTGCACATCGATCCAACTGTGTTCAGAGCAAGCAATCCTCCATATCTTTTTATTTATTTACGTTGTAGGCATTTTTCCATAAATAGCATTTGACAGATGCGAAGTGTGTGCTTGCTAAAACTCGACGGTTTTACGTGGGAGCTAATTAGGAAATCCGTGCTCTATCGAGACAAACGAAATCATTGGTGACCATATAACGCCCCGCAGTGACCCTTCGGGCTATCCCGTTTGGCTAAATGTATCTAACATGAGTGGAAGTTATCCTTACTACTACACACCACAACCACCCGGACAATACTCGGTAAAAACGGTACATCTTAGTGGTTAGCAACAGGATGACACTTACAGGTTATATTGTTGTTTACAGGAATGGACTCTGGAACAGCAACAGTTCAATCAGTCTTCGCACAGCTACACTCGTGGTCCCCCTGTCTACGAGATGCCCATGCCAGCACAGAATCAAATTTCAGCTGCACATACCCCTATTCGATCATCCCAATATTACAATTACCATGGTTCCAACCATAGTTCACATAATGGCAGGCCATATCACTCTCGAAGGTAAATATAACTATAAACAATTAAAAAACCCATCACCTGGTAACAGTAAACAAATTTATCCATCAGCTGCTTAAAAAAATACATTTAATGTCGATACTAATCTACATCAGAATCATTATATTTATATATAATTTCATTTAAATTAAGCACACTTATCTGCTATATATTGATTTAAATATATCTAAAAGTAAAAGCATATGTTTTGCATTGCATAATATGTATTAATAAGCATTGAATATTTGGATTTACCAATCTTTAATTAGACAAATGTTGAAATTGTTGACCAGCAATAGACGAATAATTAAAAAGATACATATCAATTTCAGGATTAAACTATTTTAATTGAAGTTGATATGTGCTGCAGTCTATTCTCAAGTCCAGAGATACTTATGGTTATCATGTTGACCCAGTCAATATCTTAATAAATTAAATATCTCAGATAACATGTTTTGTTTAAAGCTACTATTTTCTTCCAATAAGTATAAAATAATTGCACCATCATGGCGGGTCGATCCACCGTTCCATACATAATCGTCGCTGCAAAATTTTCAATTTTAATGTAATTTATTATTTTATAGACGTTCTTTTAAGTGTCTCAACTTATTGTCTCTATATACACACTAAAATATTGTACAAATTTCATACGGTCTTTCATTATTGAGTAATTGCCCAACTAGCGTCATTGCCGTGAAGTGCAGAACATTTACATTATGCAAAAGTCCAATTTAACAAGTTCAGAACTATATTATTGATTTTATACAAAATACTTTGTTGCTATGGCGAACTTTACAACATTAATGCAACAGTTCTTAAATAATTGTTAACTGTTAATCAACGGATATACGTAATATAAGCACCATTTACACATTAAATTCTGAATTAAAGTGGCCTATATCAAGGATTGTGTTATAGCGAAATCGATGAAATGTGTATATTGAACAAAGCGACACAGGTTTTTCCAATTCTTGGCGCATGCGAAAAATGCTAATTATATATTTTTAACAATGACATGCATTTCATCTTTCATTAAGATTTGTTTAATTATGTTTTTTAGCATTCTCGGAAGTTTTTCGCAGAAACAACAATTATCTAGTATTTGCACTTGTTTGTTCGGCTCTAAAAAAACTCAATTGTCAGTCACAATGTGAAATTTATAAACGCAGCTATATGAAATGCCTAGCTACAGCCGTCTTTAATGGATTAAGTAGATGAAATTGTATAACAGTGGAATCATTTTGATTTATCTTGCTGAATGTTTCTTGTATTGTATTATACACAATATTTTATTTACATCAAATATAAATGTATTTGTTTAGTTTTCATCAAGTTATTGTTATTGATCAATTTATATCATTATGATGCTATATATATGATCCGATGTATTGACATGCAGAGTATCTGTCTTTAAAAAAAACTTCTTGTTTATTAGTAAACAAATAAGTGTATATAAATACTATATACTAAATCTAAGATTATTATACGTTCAATTTCATGTTATCATTACCTTGATGGATCCTTATCAACGTTCTTGTACTGAACTACATGACACCAATATTTTTTTAATTGTATTGATTGTAAACTTTAAATGATTTGGATATGAGATAGGTCCATAATGTTTTTATTATTATTGTCCAGAATGTCTTTCTGAATTCATAAATGCTTTAATATTAATATACATTCATAAATTAATCTTGCAATACATTACTACATTTTTTATTTTGGTTTAAATTTTAAGTTAATATATTGAATGATTCAACAATGAAATGTTTTCTTGGTCTTTCAGCTCAACATTTGCTGAATAATTCCGGTATTTTTTAGTTTATATATTAGTAATGTGAATATTTTGAACAATTATGTTTCAATTCAGTTTACTTACGCCGAATTAAGGATAAATATAGTAGAATCCTCCTGGATATAAATACATGATGATAAAATTTAAGAATTAAATTTTCCTAATGAAAATAACGTATGCAGCAACAGTAAACTTTAATTACATATTTACTATCTTTTGGAGATTGTTTATGAAACGATAAGATTAAGTGAAAATAATACTTATTATATAACATAAACATAACATAATTATTTTACATGAAATATTAAATAAATTATTGTTGATTTAAATTTTTCAATAATGAATTCCTACTTCAATAAGACTGTAGTCAGAGTCATTTTTTACTTTCCTTTCAGTAACCTTAAAATTACTTGAAATTATTTATGCTAGTTGTAATTGTAAGTAAGTTGTTTTAAAGTCGATATATAGCTATTGAGATTTATGGAAAAGTAGCATTTTTTTCTCATTTATACCATATATTGAGTTATCCACGGTTTACACGTAACAATAATTCCTTAAACACCTGCGCGATGTAAACTTAATACGGTATAATTGCATGTGAAAGATTTCAAAGTATGATGTTAATGAAATAGAAACTATTTACAAGTAGCCATTGTATTCCATTTCTTACTTATATTCTTATTTCTAGATATAATGGTCCATCAAATCAGTATTCGTCTAGTCAGTCTCAAAATTGGAGGCAAGGATATAAGAGACAACTAGACGACGACAATGAACCGAAGAAGCCGCCAAAGAAAAAGAAGAAACCGCTGTCACAGAATATGCCCAGTAAAAAAGACTGGTCTCTGAAGGAAGCGGAGATGGCGCTGAACTGCGAGAAAGAGTATAACAAACGACATAAGAATCAGTCGTTAATTATTAAATTCCCGGATCCGGAATTAAATAAAGATATTGTCTCGAAGTTTCACGGCGCCATCGAGAATGTTCATTTTCAGCAACCATCGACGGCCAGATTTTGTTTCGTTACTTTGATGGTTTGGAATACATTTAATTTATTAAATATACATTTTAAACATAATATTATTTTTAGGACACTGCGGATGGGGATGCAGTCATAAACGCCTTAAACAAAGTGGAATTCGGAGGAGGTAAATTGACTGCAGAATACAAGAAGGATCGTGAAGACGATCAGAATATTGGACCGGAAGACATTGATCCTAATACGTTATATGTTGGTAATTTGGCTCAAGAAATTACTAAGGAGGATATGATAAAGACATATCCCAAATGTAAACGTATTGATATTGGATACGCCAAGAAAATGAAGTATACACGGTATGCGTTTGTCACATTTAGAACAGTTACTGATTCTATTGAAGCATTCAAGAAGACTCATAGCACACAAATGTATTCGAAAAGTTTAATAGTACGTTTTCGGCGATTGCACGGCACGGTAGGTATGCCTGGCGAGTCCAAACCTCAGAATCCTCCGAAGAATAGAGAGCCCACAATCGCCGAAGAAGCACCGCGACAACCTCACATGAATCACAATCACACGAATGTTCGAGAAGAACCAGAAGAGCTCGTAAGGCCACCTACCAGACAAGAGAGATCTCCAAGGAAAGAGGCTCAATCGCCTGTAGCGATAAAACAAGAACCGGAATATTTTCCGGATCCCCAACAAATGGAAAGATTGAAGATGGCCAAATTGATGCCACACACGGAGAATTACGTCTCAGAGATGCATAAGCCCAGAGTTATCAATGTTAAGAAGGAACCTAAGGAGGAAGTCTTGGACGATGATGAATGCAGAGAAGTATCATCATTCCGCCCCGTGAAGAGCAACAAAGAAAGTGATGACAAAGTTGAGGTTAACTATATTAAACCAGAGCCAGAAGACGACTTTGAGTATCACGGTATGTATCTAAATTGTTGTCCTTACACAATTATTAAATTGGTTCGAACTTTTAGATAGTCAATATTCTGACGAGGATGCTAATGAATATGAAGATGATGAATTTGAAGGTGATGATGAACCAAGTGATTTTGGCAAAGAAGTAAGTAGTATAACATTTCATCTAAACATTATAACTTATACAAAATTTGAATAAGAAAGTAATGAATATATTTAACATTTTAAATTTATTTTTTTGTTTGTTTTAGAGCTTCAGTTCTTTCTACGAACGTACGTTGGCTCATGCACAGCAGTTGGGTTCTTTAAATCACAACGACTAACTGTGCACCTGAGATTTCAACCTGTTTTCGCAATTTATTTTTGTGATTTCCGTATTATTATAAAACTATTATAGTGTCTAATATAAATAATGATTTTACTTTCCGATCTATCATATTTATTATAATATTATTTGTTTAGGAATATATAATAGAAAACAGGTGTAAAATAATGTGGAAATAAAGAAATTTATGGAAAACAGAATGTAATTGATATTTTGCAAAGAAGTAAGTTTTTTTGTTTGATTGTTGGATGATTATGTAGTCAATATACTAGTACGTTTTCTTAGTTGCCTATATATAGCAATGTTGTAATTTATGTATGTTATCTATAAGATTCAATTAAAATGTGTAAAATTATTTTCATAAGTTGAAAATACTATTGATTATTTTTTTATTTGCAACAAACTTCATGCTGGTTAATTTTGTTTGATGTTGCAAATGTCAGATAGGTGTATGAAGTTGTCATTCGGTGTTAGCGGTTTCCTATAGTGTATCCGCCTATTTATTGCTATTCTTAATACTTTACTAATTAAATTTGCGTCCTAACAACCGAAATTATGAGTTTAGGACCTTGTCCAACTGAGATAAAAGCCTGCCAGCATTTCATGAAGCTGGCAGATGATCATGCCCAAAGAAATCTTGTTGTGGCGTATTATGGTCAGTATACTTTAGAAAAATTATATTATTTTGTAAACACAGCTAGATTTCAGCAAGAATGTCAGCAATTCAACTGGCCATGAAGATTTTGCCTGGAACAAAACCTACAGAGGTTAGCCAGTATCTCATGTCTATTATGGATTGGCTTGAGGTGACAAAGAAGGAACATGGGGCTACAGTTGAAGGATTGAATAATGAGACAATTGCACAAGCTTTGATTGAAGAGTACATGCTGAAGTTGTATGAATTTGCTTATACCAGCGATTGCCAAGATAGATTTGGAAAGTAAGTGATAAATATATATTGAATATATGATTTGATGACTATTTGCTCATTGATTTTAGGAATATGGTTAAGGCATATTATACTGCAAGTCTGTTGTGTGAGGTATTAACTCAGTTTGGACCTCTCTCTGAAGATCTTGATACAAAATGTATGACTGCAAAATATAGAGCAACTTATATTCATAATATGCTCAAGAATGGGCAAGAGCCGATGGGCATTAATGTTACTATAATTCGAAGTGAAGAGGATGAAAAGAAGTTGTTGATGACTGAAGAGGAATTGAATGAAAGACGTGCTTTAAGAGGTGAAGGTCCTATTGCGGATGAACCGCCTATGGATCCTGAGGAATACGAGAGAAAACGCAAGGTTATTGATGAGATTCGTAAGCGCGGAAATCCTGAATTTGAAGCGGAACTTGATAGAATCAAGCAAAGAATTGATGAAGAGACTGAAGATATCAGTGAGGATCAACTATTTCAGCCTATTTATCCATTAGAGCCCATCATTCCTGATAAAATTATTGATCTTGGGCCACCAATATATGATGATACTCCCAACTCTGATCAGTCTTCAGGTGCTGCTACCACACCTATTATGCCTCAGCCAGATGCATTAGAAACTTCAACTAACATTGCTGCATTGGATCCTACTCAAACTGAAAAAGCCATGAAATATTGCAAATGGGCTTCATCTGCTTTGAATTACGATGATATAAAAACAGCTGTTAGCAACTTGGAGAAGGCATTGTATTTGTGCAAATTTGGCAAAGAAAAACAATAGGCTTTTCGCATCTAATGTCGCTTTCAAAACATATGAATAACCTAACTGATAATTAAACAATAAAATATTTCGTTTTTATTTAATAGATAATAGGTATAATTAAAAAATATAAATATATTTTATTTATTGCACTGTAATAATAAATTTAAGGAGCGTTAACCGAATAGGTCTTTCATTAATCTACTTTTTTTGATGTCGACATCGCCTTGGGGAACTTCCTCAATGCTGTTTCCATTGTCTATGTCTCTGAGAGTGGCTAATAGCTTCTTCTTTTCTTCAAGTCCTACAGTTGGTTCCTTCTTGGTCGTTGGGTTTACAGCTTTTCGAAACTCATATTCATCCTCCCAAATTTTATTCACTAAATCAAAGTCTTCGTCTTTCAGCAGGAGTTCATCAAATTGATTGTCTCTTATTTTGTTGTCCATATTATCGGCCTCTTTCAAATCATTCATGATTTTCTCGCTTTCCAACTGGGACGCCTCGAATATTTCAGTTTGCTTATCAACAACCTTGTTCACTTTCATTATGGTCTCAATAATGTTTGACTTGCATTCTTCCAAATTTTCAGCAGTGTTTTTTAAGGATTCTTCGCTTGATTTCTTATGCAGAGTTTCCAATTTAGTCGAATGCGGACGGGAACTCCGCAAGGAATACATTGATTTCTTAATATTCTCTTCTTCCAAGGAAAGTTTTTCGAGTACATCGGAAATTTGATGGACCGGATTGCCAGACAACCGAGCTTTTATTTTTTCCGCAGGTGATTGCATTGTACTTTGCACATGCGGACTGTCTCTAATATTAATGGGCTCCAGCTTAATTTCTGTAGAGGAATCACTCTGAATATCTTCTTTTATGTCAAGTTCAGAAGTTTCATTGTTGTTCGTCAAGCATACCATTGAATGCGATTGCCTCTGTCCCGAATTGCTCCTGAATCGACGTTTTGGCAATTTACCAGTTTTATTCTAAAATTAAAATAAATTAAAAAAGTGTTAGTTTCTGCGTTGGTTAAATATTTTACTTCATTTGAAAGCTTATCTATCTCAGATAAGGCTTGAGATAATTCCCTTTGCGTGCTCTTGTTTTTGGCGATTTCAAGGTTTATCCTTTGCTTGGAATTCTTCAACTCAAGCATGTGTTTTCGGTGTAGCATATTTATTTCCGTTTCGTACTTCCTATTCTGCTCTTTTGCATCTTCCAATTGTTCCTTGAGCTTCTCTCTTTCGCCAAGATGTTTATCTCTGGAGAGCATGGTTAGATGCTTCAATTGATCCCTGATACTATTTAATTCTTCGTCTTTAATTTTGATTTGCTCGTTTAGTTCTTTGATCGTTTTCCTTAGAGTTCTATTTCTTTCTGTCAAGATTCGATTGTCTTCTTCGTGCGACTTTATTAATCGAGGTAAATCGGCGTTGATTCCTTCGTAACTAAAATCATTAACCATTGCAAACATGATAGTTAAAATGTAATTACTACCTGTTCAAGGCCCTGTCTTGTCTGCGCTGTAACGTCTTAAGGGCCCTATTTTCCTTCGCTAATTCCTGAAAAGCGTGTTCAGTATTTTGCGTATTCTGAGAAAACATCAATTTACCATTAAATGATAATTAGCATCGTTCAGTTGGCTTTGAAGATTCCTCAATCTGACCAGCTTTGCCGACATCACCCTTTCCCTGACAACATTGTGGTTCTTAGACAAGCAAGATTTAACGGCTAACGGGTTCTGGGGTTTCTTCTTCTGCAAGAAGCAGTTAGAGTTCGAAGAACAAATTGTATCACAGCTTCGTCGTCTGCAGTTGAGAGTTGTTGTGATTAGAGGAAAACGGATTCTAAGCGTCTAAGACTCACCTGTTCGGACATCGAGTGTTGCTCGATGCTGAGGTTTTCTGTTGAATGGATATATTGGTGGAGCTGCTGGCGCTCGTGGCACTTGCCATAATGTAAAATATGTGTAAAAAATTGTTTGCCACAAAGAAAATATAATGGAATGTGAAGCAATTCGGCCTGCACTGCAGGATCACTTCATGTTTGTATTTGTCATTTCCATCACTATAGCAACAGCACTATAATGAAACCACCATACCCTATATATACCATACTTTCAGATTATTTAGTGATTAAGAAAAGATCACGCATTCACGTAAAATATTATCAATATAGATATTTAAATAATATCTTATAACATTATGTCATTTCCTTAATAAATTAAATGAGATCAAAATATCAATCTCGGTGCTAATTAGAATGTAGGTCACAATAAAATAATTAAACTTCGAAGACAAAGAAATAATATTTGTACTAGAGTATCATATATCATTTTGGTTACTATTTTTATAAGTGAAATACTATACCAAATGAATTATATACGATGTCTATTAACAAATATTTAAAAATTAAGTCGGAAATATTTCGCTTCCTATCAATTAGATATTAATTGGGTTAAACATAAATTAATTGACTATATTCACGGGTCTCTTTGAAAAAGTATCAATTTATAGAATTAATCTTATACGAAAATCTAGTTTAAGCGATTAGTCGGTATTAGAAGATCGCGCCCATGCGATTTTCAATCTAGGTCGTCTCGCGGCAAAAGAAAGTTTTTTTTATAAGACACACATACACAAACATGCACATACACACGCACACACGTACACGTATGTACATCCATATAGAAAGAACATCATGATTACATAGATTTTGGTGGAATCGCGCGTTCGCTGAATAGAAGAGCGGGTTACGTTCAAGAATTTTTACAACCCAATTATTTTCCATGTACATACATACCGTGGCTGTTTCACTTTTACACGAAACCCTATGACTGGAACAGACTCGATGTCTTATCGTGTATTCGCCATCGATAAAATAATACTCATTAGTTTGGAGAGGATCGAAGTAAAAATGAGACCAGAATTACGCGCGACGCTCTGAAAACGAATCACCACAGGAATCAGAGTTTTCTCATTTCTGAAATTTTGATTTCTCAAATGTAAAGTAAAACATAGTCATTTCAAATCCTGCATACCTTCATATTACAAACGTAATTCATACTCTGGGTTTATAAGTAGCACGTAGAATATTTCAGAATGATGGTCAGCTCTAATAAAATTTAAAAGATGTATATCGTCAATTCGTATATTTTGGATTTGCATTATGCAGTCATGTTAGAAAGTCTCTGAATTATAATTTAATAATATTTCATATATGTGTCGTGAAGACACCAACAATCTTACGATTTCAGCTAAAACATATTTAATGCTATATAGCAGTACCTCGCTTATTGCGGCTACGATTCACTATAGTCCAGTTTAAAAATTTCAAAACAAACCAAATTTTAATTGACAAAAATAAATTTAAAAAAATTGATACATATAATAATTTTTTAAACATAAACGATAGTATTTTCTCCTTATACAGTCAAGTTTGTATGTATTTACTTCCGCAATTAATCCAATTTTAAACAGTTCGGGATATTGCAGGAATCGATTAACCGCACTACAGCTCTGCTGTATTCAAAAACTCAATTTAGTAAATATTCACATGAAAAAAAATGTACAAGCCGTTGTAAACATTTAAATTAACAAGTAGTTTTCTGTTTTTTGTCAGTGTTCATATTTGCGTTTTAACAAGTCCTCACGAATGCAATGTTACGTTAACAGTTACCATTGCTGGAGGACCAAATTTGTGCGAATACACGACATTTCCTCAAGATATATTACATAAATTACAAGTATTGCAGAAACTGACCTCAAATTATTGTCGGTTACATCAACTAAATCAATTAACGTATCCATTTAAAACAGTTTTTGCTGGTTTGGACTATGAAAAATGTCATTCTTTTGTACGAATATAATTGATTTAAAAATTAATATAATGCTTTTTTTGTATTTCATCTAATTTTTTTGAATCCACATATGATGCTAAATAAATTAGGTAGTAAATTATTATACATTAGATAAAAAAAATCAAAAACATTATTTAGTAATAGTTTATTTAAATATAATAAAATTGTATTTTCCAGGAAATTGTCTACAATTTAGTGTTTTCCATGTTTCCTTTAATTTAAATTAAAAAAAAACTTACTTTCTGTGCAGGTGGTTCTTCGCAGCGTTTTTTTTTGTTTTCTTCAATTGTGTTACGTTTAGTTAGTTCTTCCTCCACTTTAGATACAATTGATATGTTATATATAAGCATTTCTCAATCTTTTTGTCGCGCAACCCAATATATTTGTTTGTAGTTGTTTGTACTGCGACCCAATGGCAAAAAGTTTGTTTTTACCAGTTTATTATTTTGACACGCGACCCATAGGTTGACAAACATATTATAATTTGTTTAAAATGTTAATTAAAACAATTGTATTAACTAATACAATTGTCATCATAATAGAAATGAATAAAAAAATATACAAATATTAATTTTTAAATTTTTAAGTAATACTTTCTTAATTGAAAGAAAATAAATATAATTAAAATATAATAAGTGAATAAGTTTCATAATTGTACAACATATTACTTATAGTAAAGAATGAAGTCAATTGAAGGTTATATTTATGTTATAATTTAAGCAATGTTAAAGGTTAATGCGCCGGTGATTGTTGTAGTGCAATCGATTGCGTTCTTAAGCAATATATGCAAAGGCATTTTTAATTATCAGATACTGGCACTTCTAATTTTAATTAAGCATACAACATTCCCATCTTGCATGAAAGTATACACCTGTTGCCTGTAGTAAATTGTTAATTTGTGTGTTAGCAATTATTCATTATCATTTCTAAGATTTTTTCAAATTAATTTTCTTAGTTTAATGATAGTTACTTTTGTTTACATATAAATAACACATTTATTCTTTAATAACTATATTGATAACAATAACAAGTTACAACATAATTATAAATATGTAGCTGCAATTTCATGTAAAAAAAAGTTGGTTTAAAGTATTTCAATAATCAATTGAATTTGTATTGAAAATGTAAAGCGTTAATAATTAAATTCAAGTTATATATTATTGGAAGTACTTATTGCCATAAATAATGAATGATTGTTTTTATTAAATGAATGCGTACGAGCGAGTGCATGTTTTTTTTTAGTGTATTATTCCGAATGTTTTATTCATTCTCTTTAGCCAACTAATAGAGAACCACACACTAATACACTACTGTATTGGTGAAGTTGGTGGCACATGAGGAGAAATTACTGGCCTTGTTCCATGACCTAGAAATTGAAGACACACATACTACTCTACCTTATAGCTGCTGCCGTACCTATATAGCATATCTACAAGACAAGGCCGCTAGCAACCAAACCTCCGTGTGTCTCTGAATAAATAAAAGAACAAGAACGGACTCACACACAGACCCAGACACTCACACATGTTGCGCATTTTGTATGTGTTCGACCCACCGATGAAATTATTTATGAACATCATGCCTTCTTTCTATATACATATGTATGTAATATATTTATATAGGATAGAAAGAGAGAGAATATGGAAGCAACAACAAAAAAAGGAACGGACGTCGTGCGGATTCTAACTCTTAAATGTCACTTTCTTTTTAATAATAATTCACGGCCAATTTAACCTTTGTTCAAGTGTTTTTGGGACAGTTGCTATTTTCAATAGGAAATCGCATTTAAATATTATAACTATTCAATTACCATCATTGAGAAGAACTATCAATAAACTTGTGCAGAAAGACTGCCCATTGTATATGTATTTTTTTTATTTATATTTATAAAGTTACTTATAAACTTGTTTGAATCATCGAAAACTTGATACAAACACAATAATTTATTTTTCTTAACTTTGGATTAAAATAATTGTAAGTTTTAATGGATTTTCTTTCTTTTTTTCCATGTCTTAGGACATTTACAGTCATACCTCGGCTAAAGTTACCTCTGATAACGAATTTTGATATAATCATTTATACAATTTTATAAGTAGACACATGTATTCTTGTTAAAGTTGTTTTTCTTCTTTAAAACACAACTTCCCTGATTCAACTATTGGGTTGACAACTAAGTGATTGCGGATTTTGTCCACCTATTGTATTAGCACATTATTTTGTTTTGTCAACGTGTTCAAAATACCTAACATATTGTTTTCTTGTTGTTTGAACTTCCACCTTTCATTTAATAAAAAAATGTATCGATTAGTTATTTAGTTTTGTTTTTATCCCAATTTAAAAATGCATGTATCGCATTAAAAAAAATATAACAGCTTGGCAAAAAAGATTCCTTCTTACATCAATTAGATCAGGAAATAGTAGTATTATTTAAAGTTTATTAACTGCCTTCAAAAATGCTATAAGCATTGATAGTATTTGAAAAGAAGTCACTAAAAATATGGCCAAAAGAGATGAATACGTTTCGAAAATGTCGATGAAGAGGATATCAAAATTTAGAAGGTGATTTTTCTATGAAAGAGTTAGAAAACATTGTTAGAAACAACAAAAAAAAAGAAATTGAAGACGAAGACGAAATTGAAGCAGTTCTTGTCGAAAAAATGTTAATAAAGATGAAAAAGTTAAGCGATTACTGATAAAAGCAATAAATCCGTATAGAGAATTGTTAAATGAAAGATAGCACAGACAATCAACTTTAGATTCATATTTTATAATTCGATTGTATATAAGTTGATTGAAATTTATTAATGCAACAGAATCAAGTATATCTTTGTCCATCCAGATAATGCCAATAAAGTCAATAAAATATTATAATACAATAAAAATATTTTAAAAGTAAACAATTTTCTTTAATTCTTTTTTTTCAATCTTATTTCATAGTATCATCGTGCATTTATTTATTATTATAATTATATCATATTGCAATTTATGATTATTCAATATTTTTCTAATCTATAGGCATTGAATCAATCCTTGCTAGTTCTACAAGTAATTTGATGCGTGTTTCTTTTTCTACTGATTCTGTTTAATATTCAGCCTGGATAAAAAAATAAGGACATGTTAATTTTATTAATAAAAAAAATAAAATCGGAATCGAATTCAAACTCATGTTTGTGAAAGTAGTTTGGATGATTTACAAAAATAGAATATATATATAAAACCACAATGATTGGCTGCATTTGAATCAGAGAATTAGCAAGTGAAATGCATTCCCGTCTCTCTTTCCTTATTGTACA